GGTGTGTTCATAGTGCCTATTGACAGCCATAGAAAAACCACACAAGTATTATTGTTTTGTGGCCATAGATGTTGTGTTCATAGTGTCTATTGACAGCCATAGAAAAACCACACAAGTATTATTATGCTCTGTGGTCATAGGCAGTGTGTTCATAGAGTCTATTGACAGCCATAGCAACAACACATGGGTATTATTACATTCTGTGGCCTTGGGTGGTGTGTTCATAAAGTCTATTGACATCCATAGAAAAACCACACAAGTATTTTTATGCTCTGTGGCCATAGGTGGTGTGTTCATAGAGTCTATTGACAGCCATAGCAACAACACATGGGTATTATTACATTCTGTGGCCTTGGGTGGTGTGTTCATAGAGTCTATTGACATCCATAGAAAAACCACACAAGTATTTTTATGCTCTGTGGCCATAGGTGGTGTGTTCATAGAGTCTATTGACAGCCATAGCAACAACACATTGGTATTATTAAATTCTGTGGCCACAGGTGTTTTGTTCATAGCAACAATAATGTAGAAACACCACATGGATATTATTACACATTTATTGTTTAAATCGTAGATGTTCTGTAAATGCATTAATTATACACTGAGTTTTAATTTTGCTAATTTTGCGGACAGTTAAATTCTGCTAAATTTAAATCCATGTGAACATGTAAAATAACAACAGAACTTGGAAACTCGTAAACCTAAAATATCAAAATAGTGCAATTAAATCTTAGTGAAAATAAATAGTTTTACAGTATATTTTCTCATTGTTTAAGGTAGAGATGCAGTTTATTTGGCTTGCTTTTTAATTGAGTAATTAGACAATGAAGATGGTATTATATATCCAACATGTTATATATTTTCTGAAAGCTTATTATACAAACTTTGTAAAACTTGTCTTTATTTTAAATATCCAGAATGCGTTTTTGATTTTGGGTCAAAAATATGCTTTTTTGGACAAAAGTGGTTTAAAAAAAATTAGCTTAAAAACTTCAAGTCCATTTGTGGGTAAAATTACATCACTGGATACCTTGGTATACTACTAATTCAAATGCGTCCACTCATCTCTCTAACGACTTTCAAAGTCGCACAGCATGACCTCAAAGTTCACTCTTTTCTATTTTTGCATAATTTATATATCCATGTTAATTGCGGACTTGTTATTTTTGTTCCACTCGCCGTAATAAACTGTCCGGACGCATTTTGAAGGGGGAACACCTTGTCAATAATGTGTGAAAATTTCGAGGCAAATGACCAAAGCGTCTATCAGCTATTTTAATTT